TGTGTTACATTTATGTAATGGAAAATTACTTGGCCATAAAAAGGAATGGATGCTACAGCATGAATGAAGTTTTGAAAACATTATGCTGGGTAAAGGAAGCCAGACACAAAAGACCGCATTTTGCATGATACCATTTATATGTTTATATAAAATGTCCAGAAGAGACAAATCCACAGATACAGAAAGTAGATTAGAGGTTCCCAGGGACTGGAAGGGAAATGGAACTGATTGCTAATGGGTACAGGGTTTCTCTTTGCGGTGATAAAAATGTTCTAGACTTAGATGGTGGGAATGGTTGCACAACTTTGTGACTAAACTAAAAATCACTGAATTGTACACTTTACAAAAAGGGTGAATTTTATGGTATGTGAATTATAGCCCAATAAAGCTGTTATAAAAAATCAATATCCCCCCAACTACTAACATCAAAGAACTATGAAATAATTCAGTGAGGCTTAATCTTTTAGAAAATATAAAGAAGCTGTACTATTTGACATTACTAAGGAAGGTTGGTCAGTTAATTTGGAAAGTTAATAAGGAAATCATTGTATAAAAATACATACAACCTGTAAACATTTTATTCAGCTTAAAACATAAACAGGCACATTCATTTAACTATCTTTGATATGAGGGCATGGCATTTCTTTTTTTAACATTTTTTAACTGAGGTAAAGTTGATATAAATATTATATTGGTTTCACATGTTCACAGTGATTTGACAGTTATCTACATTATCAAATGCTCACCCAATTAATATAGTTATCTGTCAACACAGCAAGCACTATTGCCTATATTCTCTGTGCTGTACTTTCATTCCTGTGACTAATTAATACTATAATCGACATTTTGTCCAAGGCCTTTTCTTTAGATTTAAGTTTGCTGATTGGTGTTCTCTGCCATCTTCCTGGCAAAAAACACACTCACTGTATATGTAATTTATAGAACTGGTATTTTTTTAAGCAGAGAAGACTCAAACACACAAGAAATGAGTCCAGAAACCTTTCAATTTTTTTCAAGGTGCCCTTTTAGCAGACACCATGCACAAATTCAGATTCTCTTGGCCTCACCCCTCTCCTCTTCCAGCACTGCTACCAACACTACTCTGTGTGAACTCTGCAAAAGTCATGCCAGGACAACCTGCCTAACAGCACCTCATTCATATCAAGTTGCTGAGTTCCCCCTGCTTCCTGCCTATCTGCTGTCAGGTGAATTCCGGCTTCTGCAATTTGGAAATTCAGAGGAGTTATGTTCTGGGGGTGAGCCTTTCAAGAGTGGCAGATAGGAGCCGGAAGACAAATTCTTCCCCCTTTCTCTCTAACCTGACCTTCACACACTACCCTGAGGCACAGTGTCCGTCACTTTCCAGAGGCTGGTCCATGAGTTGAGGCATTTCTCTGCACTTAGTGGTGCTCAGTTTAACACGGTGTCCTCACACTGGGTTTCCTTCAGGGTCTGCTCCTTCCTCCTCCCACTCATTCCTGCTGAGATTTCACTCATTACCAACGAAGTAGCACACAAGCTTTTGCATCAGGCTTATTCTGGGGAGAACCCAGGCTAAGTCATCTCCATCTTTCACAGAAATTCTCAGTGACCTGATTTTAAAAGTCTTTTCAAAGCATTTAATCTTTTTAATAGAAAAAGCAAACTTGTCCTTTTAATACATTTAATGGATTATTTTAATAAACAAATAATTACAATAACACACATAACTAGCAAAACGAGGTTTATAAGTGAACCCACTCGGCCCTCGGTAGGTACACTCATGACTATGCTGGAGAGCAGTCATGAGCCTGCAGATTAATTTTGTATGCCTTATGTAGTTTTAAAATCAGAATTGAGGGACATCATTTAAAAATTGGAACATTTAACATAAAGGTTTCTATCACTTAAAAACATTGTAAGACCTGGCAACATCAGACTTACGTAGAAATGGATTCCTGACATGTATGAAGTCTGGGCCTGCTGAGGGACGTTAAACCTAGCAGATTGATCTTCACTTTACCTGATCACACAGTAAAAACTGAGGGATATGCTGGGATTGCTTTGTACTTGCTGTATGAGGTTAACAGGAAGCACAGAGCAGGAAGTCCAAAATTCCCTGTGACAAGGCAAAATGGGGCAGCTCATGGCTGGAGGAGCCTCACCCTGGATTAAGTGGTATCATCATCAGCTGTACATCACTGTGAGAACTTTTAAAGTCTGTAATTCCAGCACGCTGTGTGGTCCCTGCATTTTGGGGATCATCTCTGTAAAGGTTCACACACTTTTCTTCACAGCTTTCCTGTCCTCTGTTGGTGTCTTTCCGTCATTCTTATCACTTTGTTATTTGATGACACAGACCTTGAGCCTGACACAAAGACCCCAGACCTTAAAATGGCTAGGTTGATTTGAGGAAGACATAGGTAAATTGCAGGAGAAAAGACACTAGAATACCAGCACAGGAATAGGACTACTGTTGGCACAGGGGAGTGTAAATAAATGGTTTGTGAACGTAAATGAGAAATTGTTTTTCTAGAGTGTATCTCCTTGATTATGTGAAGTCTGGTGCACCATATTGAAATTACAGCATGTAAATGGACAGATGAATAATTTCCTAGTAACTTGTATTAGCTTTAAGTAGGGTGATCATGCTTAGAAGAGGCTTGGTTTATGCCGGGTGTCTAGGCATAGTGATTAGTAATGTTTCCCTTCACTCTCAAGTGTCTACATTTGGACAATAAATCATATGATCAGCCTAACTCTAGTCAAAGTGGCAGAGGTATCCAAGACTTTCTGGCAGAAATTGAAATAGAAACCACTGGGTCACAAGTCCAGCTGGTAAGGAAGACCAAGACCAACTCTGGGAATGAGACACTGGGATGTTACATAAGATGTGGGAGTGGGCTGAAGGACTACAAGTTCACGATACAGAATCAGTCAGCCCATCTTCTAGGAGATATTGTGTAATAACTGAAGTTTTAGATGTGGGAGGGGTGGAGCTGGGAAATCTTTAACTCTCCTTGGATTTGTTCTCTAAAGACAGAAAGACAGATTACAGACAAGAAAATTAAGCATTAGAATGACTTTTGAACTGTAATTCTTTCAGCACGCTATAACAAATCTTGTTGCTCTTACAGATAAAGCTTGAAAAACTATGGCTAGGAGCATGTGACCTTCAATGAAAAAGTGTTTAAAATAGAAGAATTCAGAAATAATTGTCTACTTTAGCAGATGACCTTCTAAGAAGAAATAAAAAAGATTTAATTGAGCCATAAAACTTTTATTAGTAAAAGAATTGGTAAAGGACTTATTGGCAAATTATTTCCTTTTGAAAATTTCATTTGAAAGATCAATTTATGGATGCATATTGCCCGAACAGGTGGAGTGTCCTCAGTATGAATCCATTCACTGATTTTATCTTTCTGAGTTTAATTAAATGTAAGTTTCTGTGGTGGTCCAAGGTTTTAATGTATATTCAACTAAAATGGGTTCAAAGCATTAACTGGGCTCAGACAGGTATTGACTTTTTAACTTCAGATACAATTTTATTTAGTTAATGAACTTTCTGGACTGAGATGAGATGGGGAGAGGCTGGCAATGTGCCCAAGGCTTCTCCAAGATTATAAGTCCTAACTTGTTAAATTTTGTTCACATGAGAATGAAACCTCTGGCAAAGGGCCAAAAAAAGTCTGGTAATTATTTGTACAGGCAGAAAGTCACCTAAATATAATGAGAAACAACATGTACCACAGCACAAATATGATGGTATGAATTCATTATTGTGGAAATGGCACAATGTGAAAATACAGAACTGCAAAAATTCAGTCAAAATATGGTTAGAAATTTAGAGGTCTCAGATGGGTTTATCCCAAGAATTCAAGATCGGTTTTACATTCAAAAATCAATCCATGTAATTTACCATACAGACTAAAATAGAAAATCCATATGATCATCTCAATAGATGCAGAAAAAGCAACCGACAGACTCCAGATGCTACATCCAATAAAAGTCAGAGTGCTAGGAGCAGAAGGGAACTTCCTCAAACTGAGAAAAGGTCACTATGAACAACCTACAGTTAATACCACACTTAGCAGTGAAATACTGAGAACTACCCCCTAAGTACTGGATATCCACATGCAAAAAAAAAGAACTTTGATTCATACTTGCATCATATACAAAAATTGGATTATAGATCTACATATAAAATCTAAACTAATTAAAAAGACTGACCATATCAAGTGTGGTATGAGCAACTGAAACTCTCATATATTGATGACAGGAATATAAAATAGCATGGCCATTTTGGCAAAACAGTTTGCAAGCTCCTTACAAAGTTAAGCATAGACCTAATATATGACACAGCCATTCTCTCCTTGGTATTTACTCAAAAGAAATAAAGCATATGTCTGTTCAAGGAATCTGTACCATATGTTCATAGTTTTCTTTTTAGTAAGCAAAAAATGGCAACAACCCAAATATACAGCAACAAGTAAATGTATGAACAAACTGTGGTTACACATGTATCACGGAGTACTACCCAGCAATAAAAAAGAATGAAGTAGGATGTATGCAACCCAGATGGATCTCAAAATAACTATCATCAGTGAAAGAAGCCAGGAAAAAAAGAAAAAAGAGTACTTACTGTGTGGTTTGATTTATATACAATTGAGCTAAAATGGGGAGAGGAAGCTTAGAAAGTGTAAATGTATTTGAAGTGACAGAAACATTAATGGTTGCCTTGGAAAGGCAGGAGAGGGAGGTAGGGAAGGATTACAAAGGAGCAACAGGAGACTTTATCGGGTGATGGATGCATTATTTTGTGATGGTTTTATAGGTGTATACATGTCAACAGTTATCAATTGTACACTTTAAATATGTGCAGTTTATTGTATGGCCTTTATACCTCAATAAAAATGTTAAGAAAATTTTAAATTTACACATGGCATATAAACACATGAAAATGTGCTTGCCATCATTAGTTAATAAGGGAATAGAAACTAAAACCACACTAAATCCAACATAGTTATCAGAGAAAAGAGAAAGCTTGTTAATACTAATATGCTTTCATTTTAGAGCAATAATTTATCTGATTTATAAATAATATGACCACATAAACTTGAAAACAAAAGGTCATTTTCTGCTTTTATTACAACATTTGATGGAGCCTCTTCTCTGGTGCCATCTTACCCTGCTCCAGTAGGCATGTGGAACAGTCCAATGAGTGCCGCTGGCAACCCAGGTTTGCTCTGTACTGTTATTCTCCATTAAAGGAAACAGGGTTCCTCGGTGAGCGATGTATCTCATGTTTGAGAAAGAATAACTCTCGTTGAGTTTTCAGTTACATTTACTGTCACAAAGAAAGAATGTTTCAGCAATTCCTGGGGGAAGGTGGTGTTAAAAAGGATAAAAAGCTGGACCGACAAGAGGGCTGCTAGACACAAGTAGAAACAATCTAAATATCAACTAGAAATGACTATATACCCTCCATAAATGATAAGATAAAAAAGGTGAACCACCACAAATGTTGGAAGAAATATGGAGCAACTGGAAGTTTCATACATTGCTGCAGGCATGTAAAATGGTACAATGCTTTAGAATAAAGGTCTGGCAGTTTCTTATTAAACTAAACATACCCTAGGACCCAACAATTCCATCCTTGGATGTTTACAAGAGGAATAAAGACACATGCTCACCAAAAAAATGTATACAAGAATGTTCACAGCTGTTTTATTTCATAACACTGGGGAAGAAAAGCAGAAACATTCCAGTGTCCATCAACAGGAAAATGGAAAAAGTCAACTATGACATATTCATACAAAAGAATACTCAGCAATAAAGGGGAATGAACCACGGCTACACGCAACATGAATTAATCTCAGAAACATGATGAGTAAAAAAGCATTGTGCTTTGCATGATTTCATTTATATGAAGTTTTAGAATGGCAATTTTAACTGTGAGGCAAACAGAACAGTAGTTATACCTGAGAGGTGGGGTGGGGACTGACTGGGAAGGGGCATGAGGAAACTTTCTGGGATGATTGCAATGTTCTAAATTTTGGGAAGGGCTACACAGGTGCATGTGTTTGCAAAACCCCAGCAAATTTGTATTTAACATTTTGTGCATTTCATTGCATATAAGTGCACATTTAAAAATTTTAAAGCTAAACAATATTAAATTCTACTCAATGATATGCATGCTGAAGTATTAGGGAGAGTTACACTGATGCCTGCAATTTATTTCAAAATGCATCACAAAAGTAACATGGATAGCTAAGTAATAAAACATGTAGAGTGAAATGTAGAAGTCATGTGGCTGGTATTTGGGTATTTACTGTAAAATTCCATAAACTTTGCTGTAGTTTGCTGTTTGAAATTTTTCATAATAAAAGGATGGAGAAAAGTCATCAGTTGGTCTTACCTTTCTACTATCCTTGCCTGAAATAAATTATTCTAAGAGAATTCTACCTCTTTGGTAACACAGGGACCAGAAATTAGCCCTGAAATTTTCAAATTTCGTAACAGTGGGGAAGAAAAGTGGAAACATTCCAGTGTCCATCAACAGGAAAATGGAAAAAAGTAAATGATATATCTAAACATTGTAAGAAAGGTAAGAAAATATAAAAATTATTGAAAAGGAAGCCAACTTACAGTAAGAGTAATTACTAATACTGGTTTTTATTAACACCACAAACAGCCCGAGGGTACCATTTTTTGTACCTTCTTAAAAAATGACTTTTAACAAATGAATAAAGAACCATCTTTTATGTGAAGTTATATATGTGAATAGGCTAACTGTAGCACATTCAAACTTTGTCTAAAATTTGGATATCATTATTAAAAAAACACTTATTAAGCATTTTCCTATCTCCCCAATATTATTATTATCAGTATGCTATACATGAGATAAAACAAATCCTTTGCTTCTTGAGAGCTTTGGTGGAAATTTAGCATTAAGTTTGTGTCAAACACAGCTGGATGTGTTTCCCATCTCCGCACTTATTAGTTGTAGGACCTTGGACAAATTAACTTCTATAGGCCTCACTGTCCTCATTTGTAAGATGTAGCAGGATAACGGCAATTCATACTTTACATATTTATTTTAAATGTTAAATGAGGCAATACACTTTATACATATCACAGTGACTGGCAGAAAGTACTCAATAAATACAAGTTATCATTTTTAAAAGTACAAGAAACAGGACATTCAAGTGGTGGAAGAATGTAGAGTACCTTAATTTGTTTAGGTAGAACAGTATCATCTCCTCAATATGTAGTTCAACTAGCAACTATGACAGGATTTGTTTTCTCTCAGAATTGTTAAAAATGTTTTAGAAAGTCAAAGAACAGTAATGTTGCTGCCTCAATACTGTGAGAATACAGATTAGATCAAGGAGCAGAAATACAGAAATACATATCAGCTTAACATCTGCACCTCGTGAAAGAAGCTACCCTGCTTTACCCAGATTTACATTAAGCTCTCAGAAATATTTACCATAATATTTTATGCTTGTCACTAGCACCTGTTAAGTACGCAGGCACACCACTAAAGCCTCCAGACAGTCAACTGGAGAACAGGGTTATGGTGGGGCAGGAGGATACTAACCACCACTTACCTCCACCCCAAGAGAATGGCAGACTCACATTTGGGGGGCATAATGAATGGCAGCATCGCCACTGTGGGGACTGGCAAACCAATTCTTTTTTTGGGAAGCATGCTGCTATTGTCTTCTGTTATGCATATTACCTATAAATTTCCCAGATTCCTTGCTATCTTCTGTATCTTTGGTATTTTTTCACATTCAGCAATCCACAGCCCACATTCCCACACAGTGCTACAATTGGCAGAAACTAAGTCGTAGCAGCTTGCCCTTTTTCAATGGGGCAAAGCCCTCCTGCTGTTACACTGTCCATGACTTCCTGCTGTTTTTCACCCAAGACACATTCCTTGCCTGGCCTACACGGCATCTGGGTCCTGGTCTAGCTTGGTTTTGGCAGTGCAGTGGTGACACCTGGCAATTTCTAAGCAGTCAGTTCACATCTAGACTAGAAGTAATCCACCCAGTCATCCTGACCCCCACCAAAAAAGCTGCCAGACATCTCAGCTAGTTCCCAGCTGTCTTTCTGAGTAGATGAGTTCCTTTCTCTCATTTCACCAAAAGAAGGCAATGACTTAAAGGAGAAGGGGAAATACAAGAAACTTCTTTTTAAACACTCTTGGAAATGGAGAGCAGGCTCTCTGCTTTTACAAAGCACTGCACCTGCTTTGAAACCCATACAACACTGGTTTCTTTCTTTTTCTCTGGCATTTTAAATCTATTAATTCTTACTGGACTTGTTTTTCAAGATATAAATTCACTGGGCAGAATTGTTTATAACTAGCATCTAATTGGAAATTTGGGGCAAAATCTAGCACACTGTAACTACTCAACTGCTTTCTAATAAAAATCATGTTTCTAAAATGCTCTGAAAGCTTCAAGTATTATATTAAATAGAATTATTAAATATGTATAAAATGAGAATGGATCTTTCAGTTAGGAGATATAAAAGTATTGTAATTTAATATATGAAGATTTATCATCTTGCTTATAGGTAATCACTTCTACTTTCTCAAATGGTTATTATATATAGCATCAGATTCAGGAAGATCTACTTCAAGCCTACATATAAATATTTTCCCTTATTCTTAAACGTTAGTAATTTTCAATTGCTCAAAAGACAGTTTTAGGTTTGCTCCCTTTATGTCTTTTAAATTTATGGACTCTGCTACTAACTTCTTGACTTTTTAAATAGCTAACACCTTTCTCAGCCCTGTTGGTCATAATAGGCTTGAAATTTATCTGCACACTTCAAAGGAAGAACAGGGCAGAATTCACATCATTCTTAATATGGCATCAAGCCAAAATCAAAGGAAAAACTCGGATTTTAATGGAACTCATGCAAGCTAAAATCCCATATTTTTACCTTAAATTTGAATCAGCAATAATTTTTACTGCTGTTTTCTCCCCTTCTATTTTTACTTTTGAATCAGAGAAATGTGCTATACATGTGGATTGAAAGCAACTGCATTTCTCAGACACGAAGCACAAAGAAACACTTTCTTCTTTTACTTATGTTCTTTTATTTAACATTCTGAAGAATGATTATCTATGTTTAAGGATCATATTCAGATCGGTTTTAACAAAGATGAAAAAATACTTGTTTCACAGTAAGACAGAGCCAAAAGGTTTTTCTGGCTAATCAGTCAGTTTCCAAGCCAGTAAGAGCTCCTGGGACTTTATCTACTCTTCTGCGGGGAGCAGCACTGGGATACCTTTACCTTATCGCTTATGTATGAAAATATTGCCTAAGCAGAGTTGGAAGGCTCATCAAATAAACAGAATGGTGAAATAAGCACAATGTTCTTAGATGTAGTAAAAGCTGAACAGGCTACATACCAGGAAAAAGTTAACCTGAATATGGCTTGGAATCTTACATTAGTCTAAGAAAGACAGACAAATAATCAACGGGAACATCAAACCAAGAAAACAGAACCATAGAAGAAAAGATAATTTGGGAACTAAAGCCAATTCCTGCTACTATATATAAATACAAAATGCAAAACATACATAAGATTAAAAAAAAGAACTGTGATGACACATTTTTGGCTCCAAAATATGTTTTCACATTACAGATCTCCTTATTCAACCTTAAGCAAAGTCTGGTATAGAGAATACAGGATTCATTTCTGTATCTTTTGTATCTTTCTTTTCATCTCTCCCTCCTGTTCTTACTAACCAAAACTCCACAACCACCCTTTAAGAACCATGTTAAAGACCTCCATTAATGACCCTCTCCCCAGCAACTGGGATTAACCTGTCTTCTCTGTTCCCCAACATTGCATATTTGTATCACCACTGAGCCAAAAGCTCCAAAATGCCAGACTTCTTGGGATGTCATTTTAAAATATTTTTACATAAGATAAAGTCCTTACCACCTTGTATAGCAAGAGTTTAAAAAAGAAGTTATAGTCATTTGGAGTCCACACAGGACCTTTTCTGGAAAATAGGGAGAACTTGCTATCCAGATAATAAAAAGGAGGACTGGATATAGCTGCTACAGAGTGTTGCTAAAAGTCTTGTAAGGTACAGCTCAAAATTTTAAATTATCTCACTCTTTTTCACAATTTGTTTGTTATTTCTTCTTCTTCCTCAGGGTCACACACCATCTGGTAAACATAGCAGCTGAAGACCCTGCTGGGTTTCTGTTCTATGTGTAGCACCAAGTCTCTGTCAAAATAGACTTCATGGCTGTATGTCTGTAATTAGAACATAGTCACATGGAATCTCCTTCTCAGTTAACCATATTCACTACTGTCACTAAAATGCCATGGTTCCTAAGCTAGGGATCTTCAAGTATACACTTAGAGGCAAAATATTGCCAGACAGTTTTATGCCATTTGTGAATACACAGATTACTTACAAGAAAAGCATTATACAAAATGTCGGTGATGGAAAGAGCCCCGGGCTGAGGAGTGTGCGCATGTGGCTCCTGCTGCCCACATCACTGCTATTCACTGGGCAGCCGGGGGCAGCTTGCTAAACCTCCCATGTTCTACATGAATAAAACAAGCATTGGATAAAATAATGTCTTCTATTCCTTGTAACTTTTATATTCCACGATACTCAGAAGAGAAGACAAGTGCTTCGAAGAGTGTCTTGAGACCCTACATGCTTAGATATAGTCTCAAATAACGGCGGGGATTCAAAACAGTATACTTTTATTTTTTAAAACATTACCACACTTCTAGAAAATCAAAGACTATGGTAAGGAAATAGTATGTCTCATAAAAAACATAAACCTTTGTTTTAAAGACCACCAATAAGGAGGCATCCCCTAGTCCCCAGAGGACGAAGTCTTAAGAAGTACTCATTTTGTCCTTTCTGTAGGACAATAACCTCTTTCAAGTGGTCACTGGTATAGGTGAGCCCGGACTGATGTGAACACAGTAACTTCTGTTGCAATAAATGTCACCTTTAAAGAAAATTCTAACAACTGTAGACACTACTCACCACATCCCATGACTCCACTAGAGGAATGCTTTTAAGTAAAGTTCCATATTCATTACAGTGGAAATCCAGGTGAGCTTTTCCTTCAGCATCTATCTGAGTTACAGCTACCACAGAAAGTAAATCCAACTCATCTTCATAGTCCACACTTTTGAAAGTCTTGGTGAATAGATGGATAAGGCAGATAAAAAGAGTTATTCAGTTAGGATTATTTCTACATTTGTAGTTTAACTGTTCTGTCACTTATAAAAATATGTAGAAAGAGGGAGAGGGTTCAAGAAGGTGGTGTGAGTGGGGCAGCGGAAAGCTCCTCCCAAAACCATATATATTTTTGAAAATACATCAAATACAACTATTCCTAAAAGAGAGACCAGAAGATACAGCACAACAGCCAGGCTACATCTGCATCTGCAAGAACTCAGCATCACACAAAGGGGATAAGATACAAAGCCGTAACCCGGCGGGACCCAAGCACTCCCCCCACCCCACCTCACCAGCGGGAGGAAAAGAATCACAGAGGGGAGGGAGTGGAAGCACAGGACTACTAAATAACCAACCCTACTAATCTACACCAGGAGCACAGACACACACTGCATGGTGTACTGGATATTAGAGAAATGGAAAAGTAAAATCCAAGATGGAGACTGCGAGCGGGAACCCACAGCCGGCTCCCCTGGGACAAAAGAAAAGCAGGTGCTTTTTAAACGTCTTAAAGAGACAAGGGCTCAACAGCTAGACAAAATCGACCCAGCAGACTCAGCCAAGCAGGCTGGGAATCTGAGGAACTTCAGGCCCCCTAAACCCCTGGGGGGTAAAGCAGCCCTGAAGCCCCTCACGGCAATAAGCAGCCTGCCATTCATTCTCCCTGGTCGGCACTGAAAGCAAACCGGCTGACCTTCCACAGCTGCGGAGCAGCCAGAGAAAAGCCTCGCCCACAGCAACTACACAGAGTCCCCTCCCAGCACACAGCTAACTGGGACAGACAGAGGATGCCAGAACAAGGTCTGGAAGGCACAAAGGAGTGCCATTCTCACAGGAGAATACACCCGATATGTCTGCCACAGCTGCAGTGCACTAGGCTATCGCGAGGGCCGCCCCACACACAGTAGTGGAGATTATCTCAGAGACTGCTCCCGGTGTGTGGGTAACTGGCAGGCAGTGGAAGCCGGAGCAAGGTCTAGAAGGCACGAAGGGGTGCCGTCCTCGCAGGAGAACACAGCCGGCATGTCTGCCACCCCACATAGTGTGCTAGGCTATGCCGAGGGCCGCCCCACCCCCGGCAGCTCAGGAGATTATCCCAGAGACTGCTCCCAGTGTGCGGGGAACTGGCACAGGCAGGGGAAGCCAGAGCAAGGTCCAGAAGGCACGAACGGGTGCCATTATCGCATGAGAACACACCCAGTGTGGATGCGACCCATGCAGTATGCTAGGCTATCTGGAGGGCTGCTCCATTAATGGCAGCTCAGGGGATTATCCCAGAGACTGCTCCCGGTGTGTGGGTAGACGGCACAGGCAGCGGAGAAGGGCAAGGCGACCAACAAGCAGAAAGGGACATTGCTCTCCCAGCTGTCACATGCGCCACCTGCCTGTGACCAATTCTATTACCATGAAAAGGCAGAAGAATCTGGTCCAGTCAAAAATCACTCAGACAACCGCAGAGAGACTGGTGAGACACATATAACCAATCTTCCTGAAAAAGAATTCAAAATAAAACTCACAACCATGCTGATGGACTTGCAGAGAAAGATGCAAGAGATAAGGGATGAAGTCCGGAGGGAGATAACAGAAAAGAAACAATCAATAGAAGAATTTAAGAGGAGACTGGATGAGGTCCAAGAGACTGTTAATGGAATAGAAATCAGAGAACAGGAATACAGAGAAGTTGAGGCAGAGAGAGATAAAAGGATCTCTAGGAATGAAAGAATAATAAGAGAACTGTGTGACCAATCTAAGCAGAACAATATTTGCATTATCGGGGTACCAGAAGAAGAATAAGGGAGAAAAAGGGAGTCAAAGTGCTTTGAAGAAATAATTGCTGAAAATTCCCCAATCTGGGGAAGGAAATAGTCTCTCAGACAATGGAAGCCCACAGATCTCCCAACATAAGGGATCTAACAATTTCCAGACAAGCAAAAGTTGAAGGAATTTGCCTCCCACAAACCACCTCTACAGAATATTTTAAAGGGACTGCTCTAGATGGAAGTACTCCTAAGGCTAAAGATGTCACCAGAGAAAACAAAATCACAACAAAGCAGACCAACCAAATACTAACTAAAGTCAAAAAATAAAATCAACTACTCACAAAAGCAGTCAAAGGAAACACAAAGGAGTACAGAAGAAGACACCTAACATATAAAGAATGGAGGAGGAAGAATAAGAAGGGAGAGAAATAAAGAATCATCAGATTGTGTTTATAGCAGTTTAATAAGAGTTAAGTTAGATGGTTAGATAGAAAAGAAGCTACCCTTGAACGTCTGCTAACCACGAATCCAAAGCCTGCAATGATAATAAGTACAAATCTATCAATAATCACCCTAAAAATAAATGGACTGAATTAACCAATCAAAAGACACACAGTAATACAATGGATGAAAAGCAAGACCCATCTACATGCTGCTTAAAAGTGACTCATCGCAAACCCAAAGATATACACAGACTAAAAGTGAAGGGATGGAAAAGATATTTCATGCAAACAACAGAGAGAAAAATGCAGGTGTTGCACTATTTGTATCAGACAAAATAGACTTCAAAACAAAGAAAGTAACAAGAGATAAAGAAGGACATTACATAATGATAAAGGAGTGAGTCCAACAAGAGGATATAACCATTATAAATATCTATGCACCCAACACAAGAGCACCAACATATGTGAAACAAATACCAACAGAACTAAAGGAGGAAATAGAATGCAATGCATTCATTTTAGGAGACTTCACTACTCACCTCAATCCAAAGGACAACTCAAACAGACAGAAAATAAGTAAGAGGCACTGAATAACACACTAGAACAGATGGACCTAAAAGACATCTACAGAACTCTACACCCAAAAGCAGCAGTATACACATTGTTCTCAAGTGCACATGGAACATTCTCCAGAATAGACCACATACTAGGCCACAAAAAGTGCCTCAGTAAATTCAAAAAGACTGAAATTCTACCAACCAACTTCTCAGGTCACAAAGGTATAAAACTAGAAATAAACTGTACAAAGAAAACAAAAAGGCACCCAAACACATGGAAGCTTAACAACATGCTCCTAAATAATCAATAAATCAATGACCAAATTAAAATGGACATCAGAGGGGCGGAGCCAAAATGGCGGTGTGAGCAGGACAGTGGGAATCTCTTCCCAAAAACATATATATTTTTGAAAATACAACAAATACAACTATCTCTAAAAGAGAGACCAGAAGACACAGGACAACAGCCAGACTACATCCACACCCGTGAGAACCCAGTGCCTGGCGAAGGGGGTAAGATACAAGACCTGGCCCAGCGGGAGCCGAGCGCCCCACACCCCAGTTCCCGGCGGGAGGAGAGGAGTTGGAGTGGGGAGGGAGAGGGAGCCCAGGACTGTTAAACATCCAGCCCTACACATCCGCACCAGGATGCAGACACAGTGCGTATGTGGGGTGCTGGAAACTAGGGACACAGGACAGTAAGACCTGTGAGTGGTTCCCCACAACTGGCCCCTCTGGGACAAAGAAAAGTGAGTGCTTTTTGAAAGTCTTAAAGGGACAGGGACCCCACCGCTGGACAGAAGCGTCCTGGGACACTTAGCCCACCAGCTGGGAATCCCAGGAAACTCCGGGCACACTAAACCCCTGGGCAACAGCTCTGAGACCCAAATTGGAAAAAGAAGAACAAATGAGGCCTAAGGTCAGCAGAAGGAGGGATATAATAAAGATCACGGTGGTAAACAGCCAAACAGGTCCCCCACCATTCCCCCTCCAGGGCCCCGCCACAGTAGAGCAGCAGCCAGAGGCTGGCCACACGCACAGCAAGGGAGCTTCCTCCATAGAGGCCGGGCAAGATACAGAACCAGTCTATGCACGATTGCCCAACACAAGCTGCTAGGGGCCACCGTTCTCCCAGTAAAGAAAGACGAGGAGCAAGTAGAAAGAGTCTTGGCTCAGCCAGCTGACAGAGTACTCAATAGCACACCACTGCATCTATCAACATAAAAAGGCAAAAAAATATGATCCAGATAAGACTAACCCAGGCATCTTCTACATCTTCCCCTGAGAAGGAATCTGGGGAGATAGATTTAACCAATCTTCCTGAAAAAGAATTCAAAACAAAAGTCATACATGGACTTGCAGAGAAATATGCAAGAACTAAAGAGGGAGAACACAGAAATAAAATATCTGTGGAAGGACGTCAAAGTAGAATGGACGAGTTGCAAGAGACCATTAATGGACTAGAAATCAGAGAACAGGAACGCAGAGAAGCTGATGCAGAAAGAGATAAAAGGATCTCCAAGAATGAAAGAATATTAAGACAACTGTGTGACCAATAAAAACGGAACAATAGTCACATCATAGGAGTACCAGAAGAAGAAGAGAGAGAAAAAGGGATAGAAAGTGCCTTTGAAGAAATAATTGCTGAAAACTTCCCCAAACTGGGGGAGGAAATGGCCTCTCAGACCACAGAGGTACACAGAACCCCATGACAAGGGACCCAAGGAGGGCAACACCAAGACACATAATAAGTAAAATGGCAAAGATCAAAGACAAGGACAGAGTATTAAAGGCAGCCAAAGAAAAAAAAAGGTCACCTACAAAGGAAAACCCATTAGGCTATCATCAGACTTCTCAACAGAAACCTTACAGGCCGGAAGAGAATGCCATGATATACTTAATGCAATGAAACAGAAGGGCCTTGAACCAAGAATACTGTATCAAGCACGATTATCATTTAAATATGAAGGAGGGATTAAACAATTCCCAGACAAGCAAAAGTTGGGGGAATTTGCCTCCCACAAACCACCTCTACAGGGAATCTTAGAGGGACTGCCCTAGATAGGAGCATTCATAAAAAGAGCACAGAACAAAACACCCAACATATGAAGAATGGAGGAGGAGGAATAAGAAAGGAGAGAAATAAAGAATCATCAGACTGTGTTTATAATACCTCAATAAGCGAGTTAAGTTAAACA